TGAACCATGTTGATTATAACACTTAGTATCATATACTTTGTGTCAAAGTACACATGTTGAAGCTCTGAGTTGGAGTATAGGGGTAGGTCAGCGTAGACCAAGTGTTCCAATGCTAAGAATGCAAAAGACTCAAGAGAAGTTGTCTGAATTCCCTCTTCTTTAAATATTTGCCGAATGGCTTGTGTGACAAAAGATCTCAAGCGGTTGAGGGTCAAAACATTTGTAATGTGTATGCCTTCTTATAATAGCATTTCCTTCAGTACCTAGTCCTCCACTTTGAAAGAGTAAGGCTTGGCTCCATAGTCATAATAGTCGACGGTACGTTCACCCCTGGTTGTCTTGATACGAACTTTTATCCCTCTTGTTGTAATAGGCATGCTAAGAATAAAAATCATTCCTTTTACCGAGAGACAAATACGTTTGGTGACTTAACGAGTAGCAAAATAAGGCAAGAGATGATGCAATGGGTGTATGAATGGTCAAGATCTCCTCACTTGGTAGAACTTGACTTCCACTTCCCACTTGTTGATAGGGGTTAACCATATGGGGGTTCCCTTGGTATGTCCTTGCTTCGGTAGAGGCGTGGTTGTAAGTCTGTGTTATCACCTCAAAGTAAGTCCTCCAAGTGTTGGCATTGATCATGTACTTGAAGAAACAATCACGTAGGCATGCCGTGAAGGCCCTGAGGGCGGTCTTGTCATCTGCATCAATGTAGCGAGAATACTCATGGTTGAAGTGACCGGCATACTCTCGTAATGACTTATCCTGCTTTTGGCTAATAGTGTACAAGTCATCAATTTATAGCTCCGTCATAAAGGGTGGAAGGGAAGAGAAGACATCGCTCTTCATCGGTGTGTATCTGATATGCCATGGTGGACTCAAAGAGGTTAAGGTGTTCAATCAGGTCATCCCTTACAGTATAGAGTTGTAAACCAAGCTTTTGTTTTGTCTTCACTTGAAGAGGGTGTCGAGGATCCTCCTTGTGAGAGGGTCAGGCTTGGGTTGGTTCTAGTCTGGTATCTCGGCCTGACGTTTGGCCTTTAACTTGTTTACTTCCTCAAAGAGCTGTAGGACAAGGGGGTTGGAGTCATGTACCACTGAAATTTTCCTTGGACTTACCGTACTGACTTCTAGGGCAAGTCTATCGGAATACCTCTGAGTCCCATGTACCTTCATGTTCCTCTGGGACATGTCATTCCTTCCCTAGATTGGCAGCTAGCCTGGGTCGTGGGAGGGGACCGAGTCTTTCAGAAACCCTTGGGTCATTGATCTTTAAGCTTATGTGGAAGGAATTTTCTCGACGTTGCTTTAGAAAGTCTCGGTAGTCACGATAAACGGCTTTCGATCATTCTAACCATTCTGTAATGAGGTGTCTTCCTCCACTTCTCTTGCTTCGGGTCGAATTAGCTGGGTTAAGAGAAGTCTCATGTTGATCAATGTTTTGATGATTAGCTAACTCTTTATCAGGGATACCCATGTCGAAGGAAGGTGACCCTCCGTGTTGGGGGGCACCCAGATGATGGTTGATGTCCACAGGGGCAACAAGCTTGCATGTTTGAGCACGCCTAGTTTTGTGGAGCGTCTTGAAGAGCTTCTCATATTGTTCCTGAAGGATCTCATTCTTTATTGCTATCTTGTTATTCTGAGCCTCCAGCTCATCGACTTTAGCTTGAAGAACAACCCTCTTTCTTTCCTTCTTTCGTTGCTTCGCACTAGGTGCAAGAGATGTGTCATTCTGTGTGTTGTGGCTTCCTTCACTCCCCATGTTGGGAAGGGATGCCTGGTCAAAAAAGAGTATACGAATGGTGGAAACCAACTTGCAAAAGCTGAAGAGAGTGGGAATAAGTGTCGTTCCCACAGACGGCACCAAATGTTTATGCACAAAATCAATGAGGACTTTGGTACAACAGAAAGTGTCAAGTTTGTGACTTTCGCTAGATTGCTCTGGTCACTAGTGTGGATAAGTAAATAAATGGATAGAGACAGGGAAGCAAACACAAGATGTACGTGGTTCACCCAGATTGACTACATTCACAGAGTACAGGAGTTCTCATTAATTGTGAAGGGTTTACACAAGTACATAGGTTCAAGCTCTCCTTTAGTGAGTACTAGTGAATGATTTAGTACAAATGACATTAGGAAATATTGTGGGAGAATGATCTCCTTTTATAGAAGAAAGTTTCTAGCTTTGTTTTGACATTGACACATGTCGTGTTGTGATTGGCTTTTGATGTTGACATGTGTCGCGATGTGATTGGCTTCTGATGTCGACACGTGTCGCACTGTGATTGGCCTCCTGGTTGGAGGGAAACTCTTCTGGGTCCTTGACGGTATAACGTTGACCGGTGCTCAGTAGTTTCGGGATTGGTCAAATATGGTACAAACACTACTAATACTTTCTTTCCTCGGCTATTTGGGTGTGTGGCTTATGTGCATATTCAGAAGATTCATCGCACTAAGTTGGATCCATGTGCCCTACGATGTGTGTTTGTTCGTTTCTCATCTCACCAAAAAGGGTATAAATGTTATCACCTTGAAACTCGGCATATGTATGTTACCATGGATGTGACCTTTTCTGAATCGGAGTTGTTTTATGCTCCCGTATCTTCATCTTCAGATCACTAGGGGGAGAGCACTAGTGGTGATCTAGAATGGTTGGACCTAAGGGGAAACACCATGGCAAAGATCATCCATAACGTGCATAATATGGCTTGGGGGAATGACACTATGGCAGAGACCACACCTGCCGTGCATGATAGGAATAAGCCTGCCGAAGTACCATCAGAGCAGTCGCATCATGTTTTTTCAGAGAGCAGTATGCAGTCACGGCATATTGTTGCCAATAACAATATGATGTCACGACAGCCACTTGCCGATTCTGCTGATGTACCCCTCTCTCTAGCTCCACAGTGCTACCCAATGCATATTCTCTGGATATACCTGAGGTAAGTATTGTGGATGATTATGTAACTAATGCAAGTAATGATGTAAGTTCATATAAGTTGCCACCGAGACAAAATCGAGGTGTGCCACCTGACATGTTTTCTCTGGAAGGAAAAATGAAGTATCCAATAGCCAACTATGTCTCGTGCAATGGTTTTGCACCAGAGCGCCAGATCTTGGTGGACAATATGGAGTCTGTTCAAGTACCAACCCGTGTGGATGAAGCTCTAAAGGATCCAAAGTGGGCAAAAGCAATGGATGAGGAAATGTTGGCGTTACAGAAGAATAATACCTAGGAGGTGACGCCTTTACTAAAAGGAAAAAAAAAGTTGGAAGTCGGTGGGTGTTTACTATTATCAAATACAAAGCTGATGGATCAATAGACAGGTAAAAAACAAGGTTGGTAGCTAAAGGATACACCTAAACATATGGTGTAGATTACCAAGAAACTTTCTCTCTGGTTGCCAAAATGAATACGGTACGTGTTTTGATATCTTTAGCTGCTAATATGGACTGGCTATTAAAACAATTTGATGTGAAAAATGCTTGTCTCCATGGGAACTTGGAGGAAGAAGTATATATGGATTTTCCTCCTGGGTATAGTGCTGGTGGAAATACCGGAGTATGTCGATTGCGTAAGTCTCTCTATGGACTGAAGCAATCGCCTCGTGCATGGTTTGATAGGTTTATTCAAGTTAGGAAAAAGATTGGGTATTATCAGAGTCATTCTGATCACACATTGTTCGTTAAACGAAGGCAGGAAAAAGTGACAGCCTTAATCATCTATGTAGATGACATGATTATCACTAGAGATAATTTTGATAAGATCTCAAAGTTGTAGAGTAATCTTGCAGCTGAGTTTGAAATGAAGAACCTAGGGGATTTGAAGTTGCTTGATCTCCGAAAGGTATTTTCTTGTCTCAACATAAGTATGTCCTGGATTTGTTAAAAGAAACTGGTATGCTAGGGTGTAAGCCGGTAGATACTCCTATTACTGAAAAACATCATCTATGTTTGGATCCGAATCAGAAATCAGTTGATAAATGGAGATATCAGAAACTTGTAGGGAGACTAATTTATTTGGCTCATACACGTCCGGATATTGCCTATGCAGTGAGTGTAGTAAGTCAGTTTATGCATTCGCCGAGTGTAGATCATATAGCTGCGGTTATGCGTATCCTAGCATATTTGAAGTCTGCACCAGGAAAAAGAGTTCTTTATGGGAAGCACGGACATTCGAGGGTTGAGGGGTTCATAGATGCTGATTGGGCAGGAAATGTGAGTGACAGACGGTCTACTTCGAGATATTTTACTTTTGTAGGAGGAAATTTGGTTACATGGCAAAGTAAGAAACAGAAGGTGGCATCGAGATCCTCAGCTGAGGCCGAGTATAGAGGCATGGCCCAAAGCATTTGCGAAATGCTTTGGCTTCGAAAACTTCTTTGGGGTCTTGGTTTCAAGCCAAAGGAGACCATGAGACTATATTGTGATAATAAGTCAGCAAGAGATATAGCTGTTAATCCAGTACAGTATGATAGGACAAAACATGTGAAGGTTGATTGACATTTTATTAAAGAAAAGCTCAAGAAGAAGATTGTGTCAATAACGTTTGTGAATTCGAAGGAGCAACTTGCAGATGTTCTCACTCATGCCGTGTGTAGTCGAAAGTTTGATGACTCACTTGTCAAGTTGGGTATGTATGATATTCATGCACCAACTTGAGGATGAGTGTTAATCATGAGTCAATGTTACGGAAAAAAAAGAAATTGTTTATATAATTTATTATTTGTTTCCTTATTGAACAAGGATTGTATATGGAAATACAAGGAAATTTCCCCGTAAAATTCTATTGAATAGACACTAAACCTGGAGGTTGTGGTGGCTGACGGCGGAGAGAGGAGGGAGGCTGGAGGTTGCAGGCGGGGACGGAAGGGGTTCTGTAGTATTAAACCAGGTTTAATATCGACTGCGAGAAAGTCCACTATATTACCATACACAAGCAACTGATATCACGCCGCGTGTTTTTGCGCTTTTTGTTTTTTGGTGGAAATTAGGTTGTACTGTATTGTCGGAGAAATATTCAGAACAAAGAAAAGCGCAGTAAAACAAATAAACGCAGAAAAAGAAAGGAGAAAACTTGAAATCTGGAAACGATGGATTCGCGCAGCAACAAAGAAGCAGTTCAAGCAACAAACGACGACGCTTCGGCCAGCAAACTGTGCGCTCCCTTAACCTTTCAACTTTCTGCCTTTTTCGAATTAATCCGTTCCATTTTTTTATTTATTTTGCAATTTCGCATATATTTTCGGTCAAATTTTGCGTATATTGTACTGCACGATATGATTTTTGGCCTTGTTGAACTAAATATGCCTTTTTCCGTTAATTTCTGTTTGGTTGCCGAGAAAATAGAGAGGAAAATTCAATTTTGTGTCAAGTATGAGTGTGAAACTGTCGGTACTATGTTGAAATGCACAGTGCTAATTTTGAACTGACTGTATTGCTGCGTAAAGGTCGTGCGTGAAGAAAGGGTACATGAAAGACGATTATGTCCATTTGTTTGTGAGAAGACCTGTCAGAAGATCTCCGATTATTAACCGCGGTATGATTTAGATTTAGCTGCTCCATCCAAGATTAGAGTTGAAAGTTCATGAGGATGTTAAGTACTGCTTCACATTAGTGACTTTTGATTTCTTTGCTTCCTTGTTTTTGCATTAAACCAGGGTACTTTGCTCGTTGGGCTGCTCTGCGGAAGCTTCTGAATCAGTTTCTTGATACCGAAGGAAATGCGTGTGAAAAGGGTCATTTGAAGAAGCAGATATTATCACTTGGAGCTGGCTTTGATACAACATATTTTCAGCTGCAGGTACCTTTTTCTTAGGAGCCGCAACTACTATTGTCCTGTTTAGCTTTTTGGTTGTGAAATAGGATGGAACCCTTTTAAGTTAGTTTCAGGAATCAGGATAAATAAAGTGTGGTTTTTTTTTTCCGTACAATAGTTTTGCGTTGTGTGATTCTTTTTGTGATCTTCTCTTTGTTTCCATTCATGAGTAAATAGCAGTGTACATATTTATGGGATTGTTCACATTTTTGTGTGGTCTTTTGGTTGACAGGATGAGGGGAAAGCACCACATTTGTATGTTGAGCTGGATTTTAAGGAGGTATGAATTGTGAAATATTCATTGCTATTGCATTGATTCTGTTGGCTAGACACTGATTTTCCTTTTGAGTATGCAAACCGTCTTGTGTTTAATGACTGAATAGTTTGTGGACAAACTCAAGCTAGCCGACCCCTTTTCATGTCAGGCCAAGAGTTAATAGTCTGCTTCGTCTACTATATAGAAATGTTGTCTTCAGTTTTTTGTTTTTACTTGCATCTTTATCACACCAATAATTTCAAATTGTTTTTTTTGTTTGCTAGGTAACTAGTAAGAAGGCCACACTTATTGAAACGTGCAGTCATTTGAGGGACAAAATTAGTGCTACAGCATCAATCTCTCGAGGTAGATACTCCTGTGTTGCTGATGTTATTTATGACTGGTTTCCGTTTAATTGACCACGTGTGTCTTTGGAGTGCTCTCTTAGATATCTTATGTGCCTATATGATTTGAAAGTTGCAATCTTCTCTGATGCACTTGGAAAACTTTTGAGGCTGATTTCCCTTTATCTTCTGATTGGAACTTTGATTCATATCTTTAGGAATGTCATTTGTTTCTCTTGTGTACACAATTGAAATATTCAAACTGTTGTCGGGACACAATTATAGCATTTTTACTTTGCAGAGAGTGGAGAAGTGCTCAGTGACCACTACAAGCTGCTTCCTGTTGATTTGCGTGACATACCAAAATTAGACGATGTTATAACTTTAGCTGGTATGGATCCGAGGTATGTTCTTACAGTCACTACAATACGTTGTTAATGCTTTCAATCAGTCTTTGCCTTTAGTCTTTCTGGATTATTGACATCCTGTGGTTTAAGTTTCTCTTGAGTTAGTGATTAAATGGTTTATTCTAATATTATTATCAGCCTTCCAACTTTTATAATTGCAGAATGTGTTTTGATATACCTGGATCCAGATTCAAGTCGTTCCATAGTTAGATGGACATCAAAAACATTTTCAACGGCAATATTTTTCTTGTATGAGCAGATTCATCCAGATGATGCTTTTGGGCAGCAGATGATCCGAAACTTGGAGGTCTGTTTTACTTTCTTCCAGTTCCGGTTGTTTGTCCTTATTTATTTAGTAATTCAGTCTTTTCTTTTAACTTGAACTCACTATGCAGCTTTTCACTTTGTGTCTTTTTATTGCCTTTTTCGTTTCTTTCTAAATAAATAAAATTAATTAAAAAAAATTGAACCCTTACAGATCTTCACCATTTTATTACTTCACTTTTTAATTAATTAGTAATAGATAAAAACTGTAATGTTTAAAAGAATTATCGGAAGCACAGGTGTTGGAAGAGTACTCATACGAAAGATCTCCTGATCAAATTGCCATTAAATGTGCCAAAACCACATTTCAAAACTCAGGTTCTCTAATATGCATGACAATTTTATCTCAGCATTTGCCCGAGAAAAGGGCAGAATAGATAAGTTCAGTTATTGATTGGGAATATGTTTTGGGGCGTTGCTCATGTAACTGAAATATGTTTTGTAAGTTCCAAGTTCTGTCAATTATAAAGGCCCCGTTAGACAAAGGAAGATTCAGTGTGATAAACTACAATCTACAATCAGCATGCTATGATGATTTTGTGCTTACCTCCTCAACTTTTATGCTTGTTGTGTTCTTTTAGAGTCTGCTGAGTCTTGTATTTTAATACTCTGTAAATATTAGAAGAGGTGAAGCTGTTTTACTAGGCACCTGAACAACACTATTATTTGGGAGGCAATGTCATTGTGCCTCACGTTGTGTTTATGGCCAGGGAGGAATAATAGGACATATGAGGTTATGTTTTGTTTCACAGCTGACGTCTATTTCCTTTCTTCTCTCTTTCAGTTGCGGTGCCTTTTAATTGTTTTTCTTTGTATTCCTTGTAGGATTTTATGTTTTGTCTACAGTCTAGATTAGGTAGACTAGCTTGTTGATTTGGTTATCCTGTGTGTACCGCACATAGAGTGGGACTGAATTTTAAATAAAATCTCTTGTTTTGAAAAGAAAAAATAAATAAATCAATTCAAATTTCAAACACATATTTATCAACTTTGAAGATTGTATAGGATACACACGCCTACACCTTTTTGGTCTGGAATTGTCACTATTTCTCTTTCATGCTTATTTGATCTCTCTATTCCTTTAGGTTAAACTATGTTGCTCAGCACCATCTCATGTTATCTGGAATAAATTTAATGTGCAAATAGTATTGTTATTGTGTTTATATTTTCAGAGTCGTGGCTGTTCACTCTTGGGCATACATGATACACCAACATTACAGGCAAAGGAAAACCTTTTTGTTGAACAAGGATGGCAGGTAGATGTTGTAAATTATATTTAGTGCTTTTTGGCATTAAGCTATCATATTTTGGATTTATTGCCTGAGATGTATATGATGATGCACCAGAAATTCTTTATTCTCTTGGGTATGGGCACATCACAGGATTTACAATGGTGATTGACTCCTTTAAATTATGGTTGAGCAGTCATCTAGCGTGAATTAGATCCTTGGAAAGGAGGAAATAGATTTGAACAAATAATAACAGAACAACTTTATGGTTCTGAAGATTTTATTCACATGCACAAAAAAAATGAAGTTGAACATCATAGTAATTTATGTTCATTGTTAAAACTTGGTCACCTTCCAAATTCAAGTTTAATGTTTTAGGTTGCTTTTATTTGCATCCTGTCCATCGTTGTTTCTATTTCACTTTATTAATCTTCATCCTATATTTATCTTACATTTTTGTAATGTGATTTTTCTTTTAATGTGAGGTTTCAGAGGGCTGTTGCCTGGGACATGCTTAAAGTATACAGTGATTTTGTTGAAGCTCAAGAAAGACGCAGGTATGTCTATATATGTATCTTGGAAAACTGTTAGTTGTTTGCTTGTCTTTGCAATGAGATGCTTTACTTTTTATCTTTCTTGTTTCCTTTTTGTTGCATATGAAGAACAATCATTCTGTAATTGAAAAAGAATCCCAATTAAAGAACCAGTGAACCAGGCGTCCACTGAGGGTTAATAAAATACTACAGAGGCAATGAACTCAAAATACAACCAAAGATCAGAATAACTATCAAATATAGCGACACAGCCAGTTCCTGCATGAGAGGAAAATATTCACCTTGCCAATTACCAAGGCACGTTTCTTTGTCATTCCCATCACATAACTATTACCAGAAAAATTGGATTAGTATTTATCAAATTCTTCCCCTTATATTAATGTCTTTGAGTTCTGCAAATCTGTAAAACTGTCTGGCTTTCAGAATTGTTTGATAGCCATTTTATTGTGCTTGAATTTCAAGAAAACTGGTTAAGGGACCTGCTTGAAACAAATTTAGATAGTCCAAGCTAACCATGAAGTTTTAGTACTCAAATTTGGGGTTCACTTTATGACTAATTGATTTTTTACCGGCTTAGAAAGCCATATCCTAGTTTAATTTTTACCGGCTTAGGAAAGGGTCGAATAACTGCCTTATCAGAATCTTACTTTACAGAAAATTAGATTCCACTGGACTTTTCTCTGGAAGTCTTTTCCCCGATTTTAAGCTTTTTCTTGTTCTTGTTGGTTTTGGTATTTCTATTCCTATTATGTTTTAAAGTTCCCTTGATTTATCTGGTTGTACTACTAGTGATATTGTGGTACCACCTTTGCTTTTCGAGGTTCTAAAGCTTCTAGTTTCTAGGATATAAAGCGCCGTTGCTTTGGTTTTTGTTTCTGTTTCTCTGTCCATGCATTTGTTCTTTTTATCTGCTCTTTGTCAGCTAACTTGCTATTGTTTCTGAATTATTCTTGGGGTATGTGTTGTCTTGTTGATTAGGATTGAACGATTGGAATTGTTTGATGAATTTGAAGAATGGCATATGATGCAGGCAAGTCACCCCATCATTTACTTTTGTTAAAGGAAACAGAATTGTTAGAACTCGCTTTTGGTAAAAGTAATTTGACAGAGGTTACTTAAGTTGGTCGCCTCCCTGTATTTGTGTATGTGCTTGCTTGCGCACGTGTGAGTTTCCACGTGCAGGCACATGATTCATGGGACCGCTGTTAGGGGTGGTTTGGAAGTGAGGTGCTTAAAAAAAAAAGCACCCATGAAAAAAAGTTGCGAGGGTTTTAGGTGTTTGGTAAAAAAAAAAGTCGTACCCAGTGCACAAGGCTCCCGCTTTACGCAGGGTCTGGGAGAGGTGAATGTCGGCTAGCCTTACCCCCATTTATGGAGAGGCTGCTCCCAAGTCTCGAACCCGAGACCTACCGCTCATGGGCGAAGGCACTTGCCATCGCACCAAGTGCGACCTCCTAGACCTACCGCTTAGGTGTTTGGTAAACTGAAAAAAAAAAAGCTTATTTTGGAAGCTGCTGTGAGAATAAGCTGAAATCAAAGGAAAAAGTTGAAGCTGCTATTTTCAGCTTTGGAAAACTGGCTTTTTTTCAAAGCACATGGAGCTACAATGCTCCTTTAATGAAAAGGCCCACTGCTTATTTTCACAGTAGTTTTTTTTCAAAGCACAGCAATACCAAACCATCCCTTAGTCCAGTGACCCGAGTTATGTAGGGTCAGAAGCACCCACTGGTCCTTTTTCTGGTAGGTTTGATCGTCTCACCTGTACTGGCCTATTAGAAAATGCCGATGTGATATGCGATCATCTCCGTCTCTCTCCTCTATTCAGGGGACAGTGAAGGATTTTTTGTCAAATGTTCATTGATATTTTCATTAATGATTCGCTTAGTATTGTCCCAATCTTCTGATTTTCAGGAGCACTACTGCGTGGCTTATGCAATCAATGATGCACTGGTATGTCCATATGCGACCGAAATCCTGCACATTTTTTTCGTAGTTATATATTGTCATGCGAGACCGACCCAAATAACTCGAATAATCTTTTGGAATATGGACAAATATAAGAGCAAAATTCTTATTTAACCTACTTGATGGTGAACAAGAACTTGGCTGTGGTCAAAATTATAACGTTTTCACTTCTCTTTCCTCATATGTTTCAGGATCTGTTTGGTGACTTCGGTTTTCTTAACCACCGCCACCAGCAGCCGCAGCCACACGTGCCGAACCCCTCCTCATCAGCATCACCATGAAAACACGAGACTAGACCACACCACCATGCCGTTGCTGTTACCAAGTTTGCTTAAACAATGCATCAGACAATCACATCCGACTGCGCGTGCCGGCCCTTCTCCGTGGTGGAGGTCTGTCAGGTCCAACAAAGGGTCTCTCAAGGCTCTGGAATCTCAACTATCAGTTACTCTCTCAGCTACAATATCCAAAACGATGATCAGCCATCCATTTCTCAGCGTGTGTATTGTTTTGACTCAAAGAAAATAGATCCTTTTCTGCTCCTCTTTTTGGTCAATTTTTTGTTCCTCTTTGTGCTAGCTGTTTGGCAAAGAAACTTGGTGGGGTCCACCGTAACACCTAAAAGTATGTAATCTGATTGGCCTGTGGGGCAAAAGACCCATGTGGGGGGAATAAGATCCTATCCTCTTTGTGATATACTGGAAATTATTTTATCATGTTCATTTGTCATTTTGTGGATAGAAACTTTTTTAATTTTTTCAATTAAAATTGACACAAACATTATTTGACGAAAACTAACCGTATAATGTATAATGAACAACAAAATGAAATGATTCCTAGAATTCTTACAAAAAAAAATCCGGAGAGGATCCTCATATCCTCATCCCGTGTGAGGGGGGAGAAAAGCATAAGGATTTGGATTGGTTGGTTCTTTTTTCCTATAGCATATGTCTCTTTTTTCTTCGCTTATCCTCTTTCTTTTTGCCCTTTTTATTTTCTTGTTTTCTTGCTCCTGATATGACCAATATGTTCATTGGCTTGGAAGGTAGTGAAAATTCGATGTCTCATTTTCGTGGGGTCTTTTATGTAATTTTCATTTTAAAAAAATAGAGAAGAAAGGTAAAACGTGAGATATTATAAGCAATGATATTTTGAGCTCGTTTAGTACACATGATTGAATTGAAATGGATAAACTACTAAACTAAAGCTAGTTTAACGGGGGAAATTATAAAGTTATGATCTCCTAGAGGATAGAAGGTAGATTACTTGTGAAGAAAACTTGTACATTCTCATCCTCTTTAAAATGGTCGGATTATAGGGAAAGAATTTCCTTCATAGCCAGTCATCTTCTAATCCTCTCCAAATGAAGAATCATTCACTTCTGCTTTTAGTATAGTTTTGAAATTAAGGAGTTTTCAATTCCAATTCAATCATGTGTACCAAACGGGCCATAGTTTTAAACGTAATGCAATTAGTTTATGGTACATGGAAGAAGAGAAACTCCCATGTCTGGTACTTAGGGCGTGTTTACTTACTTCTTTGGGTATGTAAATAATATGGTAATGATACAAGGTAGTTTTTCAAGTACGGGATAAACAATTTTCCTTTAGTAATGATGCACAGTTGAAATTGGGTATAGCATCCTAATTTCAACGTCAGATCCACTTATTTTCTTTATTCCTGATGTTTTAAAAAACACAGGATGTGTTAGGAATGAGAAGGATAGACACTTTGCATACTCTTCTTGGTCAGTATACATGTCGTTGGTCTTCTCCCTTACTCTTTATCTCTTTCCTCACTCAATATGTCGCATCATGTTTGGTGTTTGAATAGTGGATCATTTCTTGATTTACGTGCGCTCACTTGGAGTATGGTGTTTTTTACATGATAACTGATAGGATCATTTCTGCTCTTTTTTTTTTTCGTTTGGTTTTAGTTATTGACATGATTGATTGTTTTAAGGTGTATAATCACCATATAAAGCTTAAACAATAGGATTCCAATCCCGTGTTGATCAATTTTAGGTTGTAAGTCTCAGAACCTGCTCTAAAAGATGATATATGGAATCATAGTTGAACAAAATATGACCGAAGTGTTCATCATACTTATTTTAGCTTCATCTTTACAAAGAAAGAAAAAATAGTGTAATGATTTTTGCACATTCTTTATCTTTTGTCGTTGAATTGAACAGAGTAAACAATAAATAGATGTTGGAATTAAAGGAGCCGTCCATAAGGTGAAAAGAAGTGTAGAAATTACTTCCCGACAAAGATTAAGTGTTTTAGAATTGTAAATTATACTTTCTATCCAACAAGAGCAAACTCCATTTTCCTTGGTTCATCGTGATTTTGGTCCCACTGCCTTAAAAAGTTGGAAATAAAAATTGAAATGCTTTTGATAATCCAGAGCAATGTGGAAATGTCACAGGACTACAGAGAGGATCCCACTTTCTTCAGCAACACGGCAACAGTTGCTATTTTCCTTTCAGGTTTTAGCCCCCATCTTAGAATATTTTATGAATTGTCACACCCAAATTTAGGAAGAAATCCTTTTTATGTCCTTTTAACCAAACAAAGGGACCAATTATTTATTTATTATTTTTATTTTTCAATCTTTGAAAGTCCTGCTCTGGCCTTTGTTTATTGTGTTCGGGGGATTTGGATCCCTCTGGATCCTCATTGTGAGCACCTTAGGCCCTCTTCAATCGAAGGCTGGTCAGAGAACTCGTTTTAATCTTATGGTCCTCCAAAAAATTAAGATTTTAATGAACAATACAGGTCATATTTGCTTCCATCTCCAACCGAGGGCCAAAGGGTCATAGGGCTCGTTTTAGTCCTATCACAAAAAACTGTCTCCAACCGAGGGCAAAAGAGCCATAGGGCCAAACATAATTTATTATTTAAATTTAAAAACTACAACAACCTAAATTTAAAAACAATAACAACTTAAATTTAAAAACTACAACTTATATTTAAAAACTACAACTTATATTTAAAAACTACAACTTAAATTAACAACTTAAATTTAATATCCATAATCAACATCATCTTCACCATCTGCCATTATAGGAGTACAGTCAAAGGTAAACAACTGTCGTCGGGTCATAATTTCTTTTCTTTTTTCCTATCAAAATAGGTATTACTCATTGGAGTGTAATTCAAAGTGTTCATTTCCATATTCTTATCATCCATCTCTTCTTGTATTTGTTTGGCCCGTTCTTCATGCCTACGGTTCCATTCTTCCGCCTCAAGGGCAGTTTGCTCCGCCATTAATCGCAATGAGGCCGCCACTTCCTATTGAGCGGCGTAATCATCATTTGCCTTGTCATTTTCCTTCAACCTTCGTTCCTTGTGTTGTCTCATAGCCCTAGGTATGGAATATTCACCTGAAGATGAATTTTCTACATTTGTTTGTTAAATGGTAGGAGATCCATCTTCATCCATATTTGCAGCTGAGGATGCAGTTCCGAACACCGACATAGGACCTACTCTATGTTGAGGTGGATCTTCAAATAACATCTACTCTTTACAAATTTCCCAACAACTGTGAAACTAAAAGGGTTTCGAGCTGCCCTCCATATACAATTCCTCCGCTTGGCGTACCTAGAAAATATAATTACAAAAATTAAAGGAAATTAATTTATGAAATTAAATGTAATATAATTAAATGTATTTACAAAAATTAAGGGAAAGTAATTCATCAAATTAAATGTAATATAATTAAATATTTAAAATAAATTATAAAAACACTTACTTCGTCGTAGTAGTTAGCGCCGCTTTCATGTATACATGCGGCTGCTAACAGTGCTTGATGCCATTTGTTCAAACTTGGGTGAAGATGTTCTTCCATCTTGAAGAACAAATCTCGTGGTTTCAGACATACTCTAAGTATTTTTTGGACACAAAAGTCCAAACACCTTCACTCGTTTGAGAACTCCCCCTCACACTATCTTCCGACACCCATCTATAAGCCCTGCAAAGAACTTCATCTTCTTTTTGG